AAAATTATTATATAATTTCGATTACGAATTCGTTTTCAGGGAAGTAAATTCTATAGGAGAGACCCAATGAGTATTACAGATTAAAATTCGTCTTAAACAGTGTTATCAAATTATAGAATTAGTACAAGGCATCTCGAAACTTTTCATTCCTCCACAACCACCCTTTCACTACCACTACGACAATCGATCATAAAAAGACTTCCATAGATTCCAGTCGCATCGAGACGAGGATAAATCGCGTTGAATTTCGAAATTTGCGGCAATTTCGGAGCCCGATAACAGGAAAGTCGACGGAACTACTTTTCGTGGTGAAATTAGGAAGAAAAACGGAACTGCCGCGAAACTTCCATGTCTGAGGAAACTTCTGTCTCCGTGGTGGCTGAGTTAGAGGGGAACGGAAGCGAACTGCTTGTATCGCGGACCGTCGTTGGGCTGTAATTGTTAATGAACTTTGAATCACGAAACACGGTCGCATTAGGGGAAGAACTTCACTAATGGGTAATTATTGATGCCGCGTTTGTAGCAAATATACACCAATTATGCTGGCTAATTCGTGAATCGTAACGTGTTACCAAAATCTTCGTGGGATTCACAATAGATGTGTAAATTGGAATTTCTTTATATTTCTTTGAAATATCTTCACGAATTTACCTAAAAAATCTTCACGTGCCAGTAATGTTAGTCAATCGATTTAAAACTGCAACTATCCTGTTAGACCTCTTTTTACACTGATCTTGTTCGAACAGTATAACAAGACTGTATTTCGAACGCGGTTCATGGATGATCTACCCAGCACTTGACACGTTGAAAAGAATCAATTCCTTCATCGAAGCTCGAAGCAAATTACATCGGTTCTCGAAAGTGAACGCTCATCAAATATCGATACTGAAATGGAATGAAAAACAAACGTGACTAACAGAAGCTTTTCCCGAGCGGAACGGATGTTGTAGGATATTTTTACGAGGGCGGATAACATTTTACGGGAGATCGAACGAGCAGAAATATTTTATCGGGAAGCCTGTTATCGATGAAGTAAAAGTCCCTTCAAGCTTTGCGACACCAAGCATGGTATACTCGAAGATTTAGCCGTGCAAGTCGCTGCGTCAACAAAAGAACACCTGGATTTAGATTACATTCCTGTCGGGTGATCCAACCTCCCTCGCGAATTCGTGCACGGGATTTTTCGCATGCGAAACGGGGATACGACTATACGTGACACGTTATTTTATTAAAGAAACAAGGGATTTCGGTATGTAGAGATGCTTATTTTGGTGGTACTCTGCTTAACGCTACGTGTCATAAAAGTGAGTTAGTGAAAAGATTGATAAAGGTAGTTGAATTATATAGCAAGATTATTAATATTATATAACGAGTAATCTATGAATATAATTACTGTTACTATTAATAAACGTCGTTTCAGACAATATAATCAAATTATAATTAAAAAATTGTAAAAAGAAACGAAAAAAATTGTTTTTCTTAATAAAGGTTCAATTATTATACTTGATATAGAGTTATAAATAGTATGTAACATATTTATCGAAATTTTAGTGACCTAATGATATAAATATCAATTAAGCTTAATACATAAAACGAACGATTAGATATAATAATCTGACGCGATTTATAGAAGAAATATTTTCTGTTACTTTCAAAATTAATTGTACTGGTCGGTTGAATGCATTAGGAAAATTTATCAGAAAGACATAAACGTAATGTAGATTCTAATTTAACTAAATGCTGAAATTAAAAAATGATCAGCTGATAAATTCGATACAAAATCACGAATTTAATAATTCGCTGAGTTAGGATTTCCTGCTTCTTTCCTTCGATTTTTATTTCTTTCATTTCCTCTACTCTTTTTCGGTTTTATACGAGCACGTACCTAAATAAAATTTAAGCAATGAACCCCAAGGAAGGGACTGTTCTCGTGCTGTTTTATTTGCTTCCATGTTATTCAGAGGAGATTCTCAGCCAAGGAGAAAGCAACCACAAGCGTTTAGTATATTGTGAGCTCTCGCAGACGACGCGATGAATAATGGAAGGAACAAAGTTAAGTGATCCATTCAGTTCAGTTTCTTATAGCATTTTCACTCCCGGCAAGAAAACTTCGTACAAATGTGCGTACAAAACACCTTCGGTTCGATAATAAAATCCTACGTTTCAAACTTCCATGCAATCACTATTGCTTCAGTGATAAGGGTAAAGAATCCGATAAAAAATGTAACTTGAGATAATTTTAGATTAGCGTTTAAACATGAACGTAGATACATGATTTTCATTTGAAACACACAACTATTATTATTATTTGGCGTTAATATTAATATAAATAAATAAAATATCATCAAAGAGTATACTAAATATATGTAGGATTGAGATGAGTATAGTCCTGAAAGAATGTCAAGAGTGTTTGGGCTTAGAACGAAAGTGATCGCGTTCAAGAGGATTGACTGCAAAGAATATTTATGGTAGAGTCGAGCGAAAGTTTAGGAATGCGTTCAGAGTGGTTGAAGAACCTGGCCCACCGAGGTTGCGTGGAAAAGGGGCATGATTGGGAAGGAAAGCCTAGGTATGAAAAAGGACAGAATGAATGGCTTAAATAAGGGCGCGGGCGAGTCAGTCTTTAAGGATTTTTTAAGCCAGTCTTTTTGCAGTCTTGAAGAGTGTACCAGTGTGTCAATCAGAGAGTATGTAAGAAGTCCAAGTCAGGCTAAGAAAGATCAGAAGGACGTGCCCACCTCTCTTGTTTCATAGCCGTCATTCTATTTATAAGCTTATTTTATTCTATTAAGAAGCCAACAATACTATCTTAAGTCAATCCACTCAAAATCCGATCCTACATATATCTATAGACATAAAAAGGGGATAATTGAACGTATTAAAAAAAATGATTAATCGCCCTATGACAATTTAACGATTAAATTGTTAAATAAAATGAAATAATTTAAAGCTTTACCATTTCCTAGTGAATATGTATGTAAACCAAAAGTATCCATCATACTCTATTTCAAGAAACCATTCTTAACGTAACACTGTTTTGGAATAATATCTTCGATATATATGTCATATATTTATCACCTAAAACAGATTCTAATGAAATAGGTACAGGTGATTAAATTACCAGAAATTTATAATATAAATTCATTTTCACACATTCATGTGTGACCGAGAGCATTCTGACATAACTTCCACAAATTATATAGAAACGAGCAACATAGGAAATTTACCTTCCACTTCACCAATGCCACCAACATTTGTTGAGAACTAAAATTCTCACCATGACTCGTATTAAATGTACAAAATGTATTTATCAATCTCCTAAAGTAGTAATGAAGGTAAAACAAAAATCTGGAAAAAAGTGTCCACGTATCACTTTAAGAAAACACCGTCCATTAATTTCTTAAATACCTCGTTTAATCACAGAATTTCTCAAAGAGAAAGATTGTAAGAAAAATTATAACCAATTCCTAAATACTTTCTCAAACATCAATAAATTTAGGAATATTCAAACACGAGTAACGGTAAAATAAGAAGAAATGAACTTTTGTAATTATACAATGAAAGTATAAATTATTCACTCTACTAAACATACGTATTGATCTTATCGATATACATCTATATATACGTACAGCCTCTCTGATTTTAAAATCACTCTGTCGCCTACTGCTGCCATCTTGCGGTTCGAATTGCAATTTCGACGGAAGCAAACAATCCCCTTGCATACTGCAAAGGTAATTAAAAACGATAAATCCGACCAGGCTGCTCGCAAAGCCGTCGAACACAACGCGTTTAACGTTTCGGTAGGTCCAAACAAATCGAACCTGATTTCTGTCTTCTGCGTGATTCAGCGCCGTCTTATCGACATCCAGTCCAATCAAGCGACTAGCTCATCAAGCAACAGCGAACTTCGCTTTCTTCCCTTTTTCCTCTTCTTTCGCCTAGCTCCTTTCTTGAAAGCAACTGCTGCCTCTTCTCGTTTCTCACTCCCCTCTTTCTCTCATTGCTCTTTCCTGGACCAAAAGTTCCTCTCCCGACCCACGTTTCCCGGGCAACAGCCTTTTATGCTGTCGTTCATATTAAGCTCCGACCAATGTTTAAACCATGAGACCCCTCCAACATCCCGTGGTTCCATCGACAACGCAACTAGATAGCACCACTGTGCATTTTGCCTCAACCTATTCACCTCTCTCTCGTTTCTCGTCTTTCTTCACAAGCCATAGCACACTGTGCACACAATGTACCGTACATACGTTTCCCATAGCGTCCATCTTCACTCCACCCAGCGTTCGTCTTATTATTTTTACGATTCTCATCCGTGAGACTGATTTTCGTTCTTTTCTCCTTCTTTAATTTTCGTTTTAGCTGGCACGTTTGTCCGTGGAAGGGAGCAAGTTGCGTAGAAGAGATAAAACAGCGATTCCCATGGCGATGTGGATAGAAGAACGTGGAAGGAGGGAAAAGTTGTGGCGAATTCGATTGATGGAGTCTGCTCGTACAAATTGATAAAGAAGGGACGGAGACACGGCCGGTGGTCGTTTTATTCTTTGGAACTTTCAGAACACTTGGGACAATGGGACTCGCTGGTACGTAGCTAGTTAACTCGGTAAAGTTTCTCAGCTTGTAGTTCGTAATCTCTAGTGGAGTCGGTATGGAGCTGGATTTTTTTCAGAGCCATTGATTCGAGCTGATGCGTAAATCGGATTCGTGACAGTGTTTATGAATCTGGTAATGAGTACTGAACGAAAGGAGATTGGAAATGCTGACCGAATAACGATGGTTATTGCGTACATTTGGAGAGAACATAGTTTCGTAAAAATGTAATGAATTCTTGGCAAAAAGTAGAACTGAATAATGTATTACTTACGTATTCATATTTAAATCATTTGCATCATACAGCGTAAAATGGATGGGGCACAAAGTGCAGAGAATGAAAGAAGTAAAAAGGAGACAGAAGATCTGGCTGACACTGACGCCATTATCTTTCATTGCTAGTCGATTTCCGCGTACCGAACGGGTTACTGTGCGAAAACAGGGAATCTTACATTTACTGCCCGATAATTCGCAAATTTCCAGTTATCCGATTTCGTAATAACATTATAATAATTATTTTACAACAACGAGCGTGAGAACGATTTTAAATACGAATGAACTTTGAAGCTACATGTGCTCGATTAATATTAACGACTCGATTTTAAAATAACATTACAGTTTTATAATAACGGTAATTTTATAGCAACAACGGTGTGAGAAATTTCGAGCACACCCGAATTTTAAAGTTGCGTCGAGCTATTTAACGCCGATTTCGTGATACAGATATTACAATAGTCATTTCGCGATATGATAACAATCGTGAAAACGATTTTAAAGTTACGCTGATGTGTTTAATGTTGATAACCCGGTTTCGCGATGACGATATTGTAGTAACAATTTTATGATAACCATCATGAGAACGATTTAAAACACGGTTGTATTTCAAAGTCTCATAGACAGTTTGGCATTCGTAAGAATGGAAAATTGGATTCAGACGTGTTTATAATACGGAATATGTAAAATGCAGATGAAATAATGATCGATGTGGGAAAATGAAGCACTCGTGAGAAATTCATCGACTCGTGATACTCGGTTCTGCTGTAATCGAACATTACCATTAGTTTTTGATGTCATTGTAATTATATCGTTACAAGCACGACACGATACTGTCACCACTTCTCTTCGTTTGCCGTCTGTCGTATTATGCGACCGAATGAAAAACCGCGATGCAAGGAATATAGAGATAAAGAACGAATCGGCCCTCGAACAAGAACAAGTATGCACCGTGAACGCGGTTGTTAAGTACAATTCTATCAATTTTAAGAGGAGCAACAAAGAAAGGAATTTTCTATGCAACACAGATTTACTTCATTGAATCGGGAATAAATTACGTCTGATAATCAATCGCACCAGCAATCCAAGTGTTCGTGTTTTTGTCTGTCGAAGATTCTGTGAAAAATTTTATTCGATACGAGAAGCGGAATTGTGAAGTTGTATCGCTGGAACAGACGTGTTTCCGATGAAATTGTACTCTCTAACAGATTGAGCATCGAATGTTATTACATTCGTTTTCAAATGACAAATTCGTGAACAATTTCGTGTAAACATTGCGTGCGATGTATTCGATAAATTGAAAGAAATTAAAAAAGAAAATAACAGAATAATGAGAGAAGCGATAAAATCACAGAATTATTACCGAACAAATAATATTTAAAACCGGAATTACCAAGGAGTATAAACACAAACTACAAAAACCGAAAACGAAGTGTAAACATAAAACTGAAACGCGTAGTTATAAATATAAATATTCTTGCACAAAAATATTTCACGTGTGACAATGGAAAATAATAATTAAATATACACTGTGAGAAAATAAAGGTGATAAAAATCAAATTTCTACGAGGAATTCGAAAGACGCGAAAATTGGTAAGTTCATAAATTAATCCGAATCACCATACGCGAGAAATCGATGTTAAAATTAGATTCACGATTGATCTAGGTTGCAAAAAGTGGCGTGTCACGTTTGTATCTAACGAATACAACAATTTTCAAACAATTTTCAATTTTAATTTTAATCTCTGCTAAATGCGGACCGAGAAATCGTGCGATCAAATTAACGCGATTGTCCGATCAATGTTTGATAATCCGTGTATCATGGAAAACTGACATTGACATATCGATGTTAACGAAGTGAACTAGTGAAATAAAAAAAAAACATTTCACTATCGTTCTTTTGCAGAGATTTTCTTGCAAAACAATGTCAAAGGATCTCGCAGGTGTGAATATTTATTGTTAGAAAACTTGTACAGCTCACGCGAGAGAAAAGAATAAGAAATTTACATGAAAAATAAAAAAATTTTATTAAAAACCCCTATTATCCTGACTCTTTATTAATTGCTGAATTACGTAAAATCATAAACGATCTAGTTTAATATTTCTGTCCTATTGAACTGCTACAGACAAATTACACGGAATTAATAACACGTAATAAATCAAGTAACACGACTCTTGTATAGAATTGATAAACACAGAAACGCTGGTAAATACACATATTACATGTACAAATGCTTGCAAAAACAGCAAGCCCGACAAGTGATGATAAACTGTTTTTTACCTAACTTGCTTTTTCTCATTCCGAGTACCTTATTTTCTCGTTTTCTTCACATTTCAATTGATAAGATTTCCCCTAGGCACGCTTATGTCACGCGAGCGCGATTCGATTGTCAAAAGGTATGGGAAAATTTTGCCAAAATTGCGTGCGATTGAACGATAGAGGTACCGGTGTGCAGGATTGATTAAAATAAAATTAATCTTCGACCTAAAAATTGAAATCGTTATATCGCGTTAATTATTAATTATTTTCTTGATCAATTTCTCGCCTGAGAAATTGCAGCGATACTGCTGTTCTTCAAAATCGCAACGTTCATTTTACCTTTATTTTTACTAAATGACAGCACGTTCGCTTTTAATTATTTCAACACGAAATACAAAAGAATACAGCTCGATAGCGAATTATTTTCCGATGGCGTTTATTTGAATTATAACGACATAAAAAATGATCGATCTCAATGATAAAAGTCCTTGGAAAATTTATCATGGCTGAAAGACTGAGCATACTCGCAGTTGCTCTCAGCGAAACTCTTCCAACGCATTTTTCCTTTTTAACATTTGATTCGTCCTCCTCGACTGGTGGAAACGATGCATTTAAAGGATACAAATGTATGCAAAGGAGACGACATAACTCGCTGCTCCATAGAAAAAGCTACGCGATGGGAACTGTCCTCGAGGTCAGTCTCCTTCTGCGGAACGACTCTGGAATGAGCGCAAAACTAGAACGAAGACCATATCGTTCATAATGAACGCGTCGCGTATATTTTACGGGAAAATGAATTTCTTTGTCACGACCTCTGACATAAGTGCTCGATGCATCGAACGAAGACGATCGACCTTGCAGAACGTCCTCGTGACTTTTCTTCGCGCGCATATTTACTTCCTCGCTTTTTATTTCCCCATCTTTCTTTCTTACTCTTTATTTTTCCTCCTCTCCTCAACATTTCAAGATGAAAGATATTACTTGGCGGAATTTTCTGGATACCTTCCCCGCCAGTCTTTGTCCTTTCTTTCGCGCTTCGGTGATATTTCGGAATAAAAATGCTGACATTCGTTTCGCGGAATATGAGACCAAATGAATGCATCGGTGAAAGAAACTAGGAGATTCCGAGACGAAATTGTGATTTTCAAAACGAACGATCTCCCCTTTGTGTAATTTTAACGCACTCTTGGATAGCCGATAATTATGTTATTAAATTAATTCTTTAATCGTATTTTCGTAGAATCGTTAGATAGCGAGGAGGAATTTAAAAAGTAAGTTTAGAAGTTTATACATGGCTTTTAGAAGCTTACATATGGCTGCTATCTATGAGACACTCCAGGGATGAAAGATCAGTACATTCACTTATTATCATTTATGATAGGTAGGAATTATAGTAGCATTTGAATCACAAATAGTAAACTGTTTATAGCCGATTCCATGCTGTGGAAAACAAAAGGAATTGCCAAGTGCCGGATTTGACCTAACTTCCGTTCGATGATTGTTCATTTAATAAAAACTGAATCGCCTCTGATAAAGGAAAAAAACACATGTGCATAAAATCAGTAGCCGGTGATTAAGATGCTCTATTACCGAAGTACATTGTCTCGATTCTGTCATTTTGTCATTACAAGAAATTCCATCGAAGATATATGTATCGTCGTGTAAACTATACCCGGCGATTTAAGAAGAAGAAAGGATATAAACTAATTAACTATTCATTCGACAACATCTTAGAATCTCGTCTTCGTGTCTTGAAAAGAATTAATTTAGTTTTATTTCGTTTACAATTTCAGCCAAGGAAGGTCCCTTTCGATCATTGCATCCTCTTCGAAACACGCGAAGAACAAATCGAAGGAACCCTAACCTCAATGTCAGTGGTAAATGCGGGATGCCGAAAATATGGATTATTTACAAATTTCAAACTGGAGCAATGCTTTGGATAAACGACACTGAAGACACGAACGAAACAAAGGCAGCCATTTGGCGAATAAAAGGACCCAGTGTTCAACAAATGTGAACAATCAACGAAATAACGGCGCCAACGAAGTCCTGCGACTTCTCTCAGCTGAATGTTGCCAACTTAGCGCGAACCCAGTGTCCACTCGTCATTTACGTGGAAGTTCTAAAAATCCGTCGCTCTTTTTGGAAACAGCGACTATCGGAGGTGAGTGTAAGTCCTTGGACAAACTTTTTATGGAAATGCTTTATTGCCAACTAAAAATGAAAGAACGAAATATTTATGAGTTCCATATACCGTGAAATAAAGTTTGGAATTATTTTTCGCGAATGTAAAGTTACAACTCGCGGTGTTTTCAGTTTTAAACTTCGCTATTTCGGGAGATGCACGTGGACATAGCTTGTGCTCTAGATCGCGATGTGTTTTGTTCTTCGTATAAACTCAGCGTGGGTAGATTCAGTAAAATTTGTGACATCGCGTTTTCTGTCCTCCGCTGTAATCTTGATACAAAGAAATTTTTATCGTCACGTTGACTTTTCGTAACATCGTATATCCTTCTATTTTCCTACATTTTGTGCTTTCCTATTTATATATCATATTTTATGAGCCTATGACAAGAGTAAGACCATGGTTAGGTAAAATATTTTTATAGCTAGTCCCTATAAAATTCGAAGATCATTCATCGAGTGTATATTTGTTACCCTATTAGTAATAGGCTGTTACAGTGAATGGACGATTATTGAATAGCGATTATCCGAATTTCCGATTCATCAGACTTTCAATTGCCTGGACATTAATTATCCATCATCTGATTATCCAGACACGTTTGTCGAAATTCTCGTTAAATGATACTCGCATTTCTGTATTATGTACTTGATTTACATTACTTTAGTACGCCATTAACTCACACATTCAAATAACATTTGTGCCTCGTTACTATGTGCCGACCAAAGTATGCAGACTAGAGTAGAATTATAAGCTACTATCATAATTGTATATCATGACTGTAGCATATTATACTTAATTCGAAGAGTACATTTGTTTAATCAGCTTTAACCGCACATGCTTACTAGTTACTAGTTAGCGCACGATATCCTATATACCGCAATATATGGAACGTAGTATTCTAGATAATATATTCACAGACCGTTATGCAAATCACCAATAAAATGTTACCATTCACAGATACGATGACCGGGGAAAGCAAAGCAGAAGAGCACCAAAGATGACTACGTATCCTAGACGGCCATCAGTCTACTATCTCCAGAACGTGTTACCACCCTGCGACAATTTGACCGACTTCTTCAGCCACTCTAGCGGTCTTGACCTAGCCCTTGACGCTCGATCATGGCGCAACATGAGCGAACTCGACCACCTGTTTCGTTCTGGTATTCTGAACAACGTAACATGTCTAGAACACGCGCCACAACTGACCAGCGCCACCTTTTTCAAAGTAATCTTCTTGGCCGTGATGACGGTGCTCAGTTTAGTCGGAAACGCGGCGACCATCTACTCCATCACGAGGAACCATCGAAGACAACACGCTTGGTCATCGATCTACACCTTGATCCTGCATCTGGCAGTGGCTGATCTGTTAGTCACGGTGTTTTGCATGGGCGGAGAGGCTATATGGAGCTATACGGTGGCGTGGATCTTCGGAAACGTCGTGTGCAAGTTATTCAAGTTCTTGCAACTGCTCAGCTTGTACCTTAGTACCTTCGTCCTGGTGTTGATAGGCGTGGACAGGTTCTTCGCGATACGATATCCGATGAAAGGACTGAGCACTGCTGACAGGTGTTTGAAACTGATCAGCGTGATATGGATACTGTCTATAGTGCTGGCAACACCTCAGGTAAGAATTGATATAAGGGTACTACGTAATTATACGTAATTATAATATGACGATAAAGCCAAATGGCTTGAAGTTAGACTAATTTCGAGAAGTAAATATCCTTAAATTAAATATCATCTTCGTACAATTGCTTATTCGTCACTTGTACGTTGTCACGATTATTATGAAACATTTTATTACGGAAAATAGAAATCACCGTTTAATAAGTATCTAAAGTTGTTTACGGAATAATCGTTTAAGGATAACTATTTCTCTTTCCATTTTTGGTTTCTTCGAATGTAGAAACCTGTAGATGAGCAAGCAATTAAAACCTCAAAATGAACAGCTCGTCTATTTTGATGGTTTGTAAATTTAATTGCGTTCGCTGCTCGTTATTATTCAAATTTGCTACATAATTTAATAAAGGATCGTGTTATATGATATCTAATTACTAGTAAGAGGATTAAATTCGATACGTAGATACGCAGTATCACAACTGATTCGAAGTTTACGTATTATTTCTCTAAAATCGAACAATACCTGTAGAAACGAATTTTAACGCACATTTAACGTGCATTTAATACGCTTTAAAAAATACGTGTATTTTAAATTAATTATAGAGGAGATTCAAATTCACGTTTCTTAACACGTAATCGAAGGATGATTTTTACACAACGCGAATTACAACTTACTTTCCCTGTAATTTCTTCGAAGCGAGAAATTTTCTTCGACTGAAGATAATAACAAATAATACAATAACTAAACAAATAATACAAATTATATCTATTTACTTCTTTTCTGCGCTATTTCAGTCTTCCGCCTGTATATTTCTAATGTTTTCGATATTTGATGAAGATAACGCGATGCCAAGATATATATCATACAGCAGATTAATTTCCATCGTATTATCTGAAAATAATACCAATACAAAACTCTAGGATATTTAATGTGTAATCAACAACCGATGAAACGATTTCCAGAATATTCTGTCTAAATTTTGTTTCTAAATTTCTAATTTGACGGTCTCTCTACGCCATACGGATTTCACACACGAGGTCGGGAAAACTTTCCGTTGCTTGTCCGAAATTTGTCTGCCTCGGACGAATTAAAAGTTCGATCGATGAGACCGATCCAGCGACTGATTCGCAATTAAAAAGTAATTTACAACAGCTGACATCCGGTTACCGCGTGCAACTTCCGCGAATCCTTGAAAGTAAGAATTAAAAGCACTGCTCGGTTTTTATATTCTAGCTTGTTCTTTTCCACCTTTTCCTTTTATCTTCGTCCTTCCTGCTGCTTAGTTTGAAACCAGAGCGAACCCGCGGGGAACACCGGCTAACCAAACGCTGTTGCATAAAATTAGGAATAATCTTCGTGTAATATGCTCGCAAATAGCGAGTGATTACATTACAACGATGACCATGAGAAACTGAGTAGACTTAGCAGTATAAAAAATGATACTACAAAGAGGGAAAAAAGTGGGTGAAATAATTGGAAAAACCAGTTCCTTCTGCTCGTTTTCTCGGAATCGAAATTAAAAATTAATCAACATGCTGGATAAATTTATACGAAATTGTATATAGAACTCTTACGAGGCATATTATATCGAATTTTAGAATTTAATATACAGAATGTCCTATGTATTGGAATGTTTCTATATATTAAAACGATAGCCGAGTTTTTACAAGTATTACTTGAATTTTGGATGAATATTCGCAATGTTGAATAATATTTCATTTCGTCGAACATAGTGATTTTGCTTTGAAAGCTCATTTTCTTTGAAGGCGAAGCGAAAATTAATTTTCTAAAATTGATTTACCCTATCGATTTCATGAAAGTAATTACAAATTATAAAATAACGATTATTTTCATGAATTAACCCTTTCCATATCGAAACTTCCAATTTATTTAAAAAGAAGAAGAAGATGCTAATAAAAGTTGCAATAAATCCTATTAAAAGTATCTCAAGTTTTATATAAGGAGGAAGAATGATTAAAAAATTTCAATATGCAATTCACATTTTAGGAACAACGATTAAAGTTAAATCGATGAAAGTTAAGCCCGTGTAAAAGTAATTGCCCGTTCGTGATGCAAATCACGGAGTAACGTGGCTCGAAGGAATCGGCCCGAGAATAAAAGATCCACTGCCCGATATGTCTCCCTTATCCAGCGAGATTCGTATCCGTTATCGTCACGATAGTTTTTAGTTAACGTAATTTATGCTCGTAATTAATACAATTACCCGCGATCCCCGGTTAATGTAAGAGGATTACAAACGAGACTTCGTCTAACTGCGTCGATTAAAACCCCTCTTTTCCCTGGCGTTAGTTCGCTGATAATTACTTTTTCTACAGTCCAATTTATCCTCACTGTCCTGCTTTTAATTTAGCTTAAAATGAGGAACTCGTCACGTCCAGTAACGGGGATGAATTCGTAAAACACGGTAGAGAACATCATATCGAAATTGGAAACTGAACCGACCGCAGAATGTCACGTGCGGTTTTTGTGATAAAACCGAAAACTCTGAAATGCAGGTGTGCAAAACAGTTCCGAATGTCTGGACAGGGAAAAATTCGAATTTATATGTAAATTCGGGCTAAAGTAAAACCGAGATGTAATGATGTTTATGTAGCAGAAAATGACAGTTTATACTAATTAAGAGGAAGGTTGCTTTGAACGTTGAAGAACGTCGATTTGCTAGCTGGAAGAAACGTTAATGGTAAATTAATTTCGAGTTTTGGAAATATGGAATTTATATTTAATGAGTTTCATAGAGTTGGTATATTGAAACTCTTTACTGGTTATGAATGTTGCTAGGTAGTATGGGAGTGGTATTAAAACTAGAATTAAATCAAGCCCGAATTAATTTTGATAAAGCGTTATTGTCGTTTTAGCTATTCCTCTGGGTAGGCAAACCAAAATGTCTCGATTTGCTTTTGAATTACTTTGAAATTGAAAAATAAATGTATGGAAACGTTATGCAAGATACAATCGCTGGATATAAATAGCAATATAAGCTATGTGAACAGAAAAATGTCCAGTTCCAGGATTAAATGTTCGTGGTCAATTTAAAAAATAGCTCGTGACTATAAATATTACATTGTTGAGAAAAATATTTCCAAGAAATTTAATAGTAACATTTGTATATTTTTACTCTCGATGGTACTCTTACAAAGCATCGTTGAATACGCAAATGGTACGCGACATATTAAAACCATGTCAAAAAATACTGTGACAATGTAACATGTACACAAGGAGGAATACTCAAAAAATAAAAATTGGAATAAAAATCTGAATTGACAGACGATGATATAAACATACAAGTATATAAATTTATAGAAAATTTAGCACTCTTGAAAAGATACGTTTTATGGCCAACATGGTAATCTTCTGAATTTTCTATGTTGACTTATACAACGCCAGTGTAGTAAGTTTCACTTTCAATTTTGTAATACCTTCTTACACTGCTGGAAAACATATTAATGCATTAGAAAGCAGAAAGCTATTTACCCTTTTTCTATTATCATAAAGTGGCAAGGAAGTGGTATAACTAAATGTTCATCAGAAATGAAATTAATTGAAATTGACATTTCCCTTATTCTTAAATTTATAAATATTTCATAAATATTCTTTCCACGTTCTACCAATTACTAATACGATTACAGTTATTTCAATTTTCCACTCATTAGACCTTTTCCTCTCGCAACCGTCTTCTATTTCATTATAGCTGATTACCATTATATAAATTTGTTATCCCAATGAAACATAGTAACACGCCTCTAAAGAAAAGCTCCTCGAATAAATTGCGGCTCCAAGCTTTGCTTTGTCACTGTACTAATTACCCGTTCACCCTCGTCTTATACTTAAAAGAAAAATAAATTTTAAATACGAATCTCAGACAAACACTCGCTGCAGTCTACGAATTGAGGTACATTATATTACTAAATATTTTCTCAAATTTTCAAAGACCATATGCAACTATAATATCTTCTAAACCCAATTCTATTTGCCTCTCAATGAATCATTGTATCTCTTTAGTATGCTAATAGATGGATATCAGCAATTTTATTTGATACAATGATTAGTTCCTAGATATTAAATTCAAGTCGAACACTATAGTTAATAATAATTATTATCTCCCCTCACAAGCATCCAAAGTTAGAAAATTTATAATTCATTAATAACTTCAAGCTAAACTGCTATGAATTAAAATATAAAATTATAAGAGAAATTGCAAAAACCCTAAAAATCTTATCCCACTTGCTGATGTAAATAAATATCATTTCTCACCTCCAAGATGACTTATATATAATCGATGTCCTAGACAAGTAGAAAGAATAATAAAAGCATTTAGTCTTATATGGTCTTCGTCATGAAGAGCATGATAAAATGGTCTATAATCTGACACAAGAATCATATAAAATAAACATGATCTATGAGTGTACACACCGACATGGATTCCTAATCTGTTGCCGAGGAGAAGCTGGACAAAGAGGTCTTTTCGCTTGCCCCAGAATCGTAAGCCTCTAAAGACGGTTCAAAAGTTCTCTCCTTCGAGAACTTCCCGTCTGCCTGCGGTGTCGGAGCCCTTTTCATACGATTTCGATCGCCTCTGCTTCCTAGACCGCCGCATCGACACTTCCTCCTCCTTCTTCTGCGCCTCCTTCCACAACCCATGCTACGCCTTCGTCTCCTCCTCATCGCTCTTCTTCTAGACTTGCACCTGCAGAACCTTCTCTTTCGCCTCCTTCGTCTGCGTCGTTTCCCCTTGCACTTGCAGCCCAGCTTCCGTTGCATCTTGTTCCTGCGACACACATCTAGCAGATTGACCTCCTGCTGGGCAATTTCTTGACATTTTATGTCTCCGTTCATCGGTAAAATGTAATGGCCCCCATTCTTCTTCAAGATACCGTACTCCACGCCTCGTTTCAAAGCTGTATGCATCTGTTCGCGTGGAGTAAACGTTAAAGAGTAAACGTGATGAGATAAGCTGAGTGACAACAAATGAAATACGTGAGAACAACCTGTAAAGTTTTATGAAATTAAAACCTCGAAGAAAAACGTGATATAGAACATAGTGAAAGGATAGCGGAAATGACTTGAAGGATATGAATGTACACAATGTAACTATAATGAAGAGTGGGCTTATTATTCAAATGTTATGAATAGATCTTAAACATAGAATTAGAATATATCAAATAACAAACCATAGTTATCGGAATACCTGAAGAGCAGATTTTCGAATAACGAAGGTTCTACTCTATTATACATAACAAAAAGTGACTAACCTGACGACGTGCTACATTTGGTGAAATATCATAAACAGATGAGAGATAATTAAAAATCTCCCGCGACGTCGATCCTTTCAATTCACGAAGATTTCTGATAGCCGTGATGATCAGCGCAAGAATTTTAGACGATTCGCTCACCATGGTGTTCTGTCCAAAAATCTGCAAATAAATACACAAAATGTTAATATCAAATTTCAAATCAAAAAATGAATCTTCAATTTCCCCTATTTTCCTCATTTCTTTTTTTCTTTCTTTGTAATTCGCGGAAAATCGATCAAAAAATTCCTGCAGTTATTCTAAATACCTTGTTCTCATTTTTTAGGACATTTGAAAAAAAAAAAAAAAAAAAAAAAAAAAAGAAAAGGAAAAGAATCAGTTTCACGCGTTAACATTAGTCATTAATATGACTGTTCGTTACTGGGCCATTAGTTACCGTCAATACGTCATGCATTTTTATACGTTGAGTATGTTCGTACCAGAAAAATTTATTCTATAGAAGAAAGCAACACACAGAATATACGATTGAACATTTCATTGAAACGCAGATAATTCTAAAATACGTTTCAAAATATCCAAAAATAGTTTTCTATTCTCGTGTATGTTTTCCTCCATCCTCCCGTATATCTTATATATTAATACCGTATATTAATACATTAATATACTATGTTAATATATACTATATTTTTTTTTAATATTATTATCCTTGTTTACATGTACTATCCTTGTGATTAACCAGAACCATTGAGATTGAGATGGTCAGAAGTATCCATGGCTGTTCCTAAATCATTTTCCCAAGCTGGGTCATAAAGAAAATAACGTGGCAGATAAAAAAGAGGAGAAAATGAGAAAGAAGGGAAAGATAATCGCAGGAAAGGTTTACCTTAACGACGATGATAATTAAATGCCGTCCAAACGGTCTGGGCGCCTATTCCTTTCGTAAACTTCGTTCTCCAAGGTGCAACCTTCAGTCCATGTTTCGTTGGTTCCAACTTTCTCCGGAAACCAATGTAAAAATACAAGAAATTTTATTATAAAATCACAAGCCGAAAAGTTTGTCCTGTGTCACATTGCTGTTGAATAATCGACGAACGAGCATCGACAATTACAAATGAACGATGCTCCGTGATTCCGAACTCGATCGTAACGGCCATGTTGATCGATGCGGAAATTTTTCCATCGTGGTCGTTCTAAACGCAGCTAAAAATAATTAAAATGGGCAGGTTTGAAAGTGTTCCAAGAGTATGCAAATGAAAATAGAAAAAAAAAGGTCGCGCACGAAGAACTTGTAATTGTAAATTATCATAATTACCAATAGCATCGATGATAAGTTTTCTTGCCGCTACTCGCGGAGTACATTCCGTGTAAAAGCGTCGATTTCACGTAAATTCGACCTCAAAAATCTATTTAATTTGTACGCTGATAAATTATACTCGCCGATGAATTTGTAGGGTTATAACGATAATCGAAGAGATTAATTATACTAACGATCGAAATCCGAGAAACTGATTATTTTACATTTTATTACGATCTTTAAGCGACTCGTTTACGAATGAACGAAATAAATCGAGGAATAATTTCTACGAGATTCGGGCGTTATTAATCAACGAATAGATTGGCATTACGAGCCTGCTGAAATGCACGATACAATCAATTTACCGATGAAGTTATTTCTAATTAATTCGTAGCAAAATAAATTATACCGGAGGACAAACATTTGTATTTCATAACGCTAATTAATTAATGTTTTATTATTCTTTATAGGCTATCATATTCCACGTAGCCGAAGGACCATTCGTCGAAGAGTTCACGCAATGCGTAACCCATGGATTTTATACAGAGCCATGGCAGGAACAGCTTTACGTATCTCTCAGCTTGTTCTTCATGTTCCTTCTTCCTCTGGCCATTCTTATCACCACATATGCTTCCACCGTGATTACAATCTCTCGTAAGTGCACCTGAAATATAAATTTCAATTTCAGAAAAGATGGAACACGATAGTTTTTCTTCTATAATTTCATTTAATTGACAAATCGATCGCTATTCTAATTATCTTCTATTTTATGAAATATGATTTATAAATTAACATAGAAGTTATTAATAGTGCAACTGAAACGTATCTCATTTTCGTCGTATTTCGTCGCTGATCATATATCAACGTTTAGACATAAAACACACACCTATCTGCATAATATACGAACGATTCTTTCGTTTCGAGATGCAAATGAAATGATTTTAGGCAACGAGAGAATGTTCAAATTGAAGCTGACCAATAATAATATGTGTCACGTGAACGGAGACATGAATCGGACGAAATTAATGCATCGAGCAAAAGCCAAGTCATTAAAGATCAGCATTGTTATAGTAGCTGCCTTTATCATTTGGTGGACACCATATTACACGATGATGATCATTTTTATGTTCCTTAATCCTGATAAGCGTGTAAGTATTTCTATTATTCGACAAGATTTTACAAAGTTCTTATGTTTTCTTTTTAACCCTTATTTAATTATAATTGAATCAATTGATTCATTATTAGTATAATTCTGCAGTGTTTATAATTTTTCGACATAACTTTCCTACCTTTTTCATACTTCTATAATTCTATAATTTTTTATAATTCGTACTGTTGTTTCTATAGCTTTATCATTTTCACGACTTTATCATCTTCATGATTTCGTAATTTTTTAGTAAATTTTGAGTAAAATTTGTAGCGATAACATTTTATTTTTCTAATCAATAATGAAATTAAGTTAGAAAATAAATGAATTGATACATTAATTCCTTAACCCTATTTCCTGTACTTGTAGGCAAATTCACGTGTAGAATTCCTTATTACTTAAAGCATTTATAAAATGAAGTATAATGAAAGTCGAGTAAGATAAAAATATTACTTTAGTAGAGAATGATCACGTCGTATAAAATACAAAATGGTGTCTAAAATAAATTCACCCTAAATTCGAGCGTTTATTCAATCGATATAATTCATTCAAAATTAATTTGACACAAATATTTTAATTGAAGGAAACTAACTTAGCTAATAAAATAAAATAAAATTTATTTAAAAAGGCTACAAATTTCTGTGATATTTTCAGCTTAGCGAGGAATTGCAAAGCGCAATCTTTTTCTTCGGTATGAGCAACAGTTTGGTAAATCCTATAATATATGGCGCATTTCACCTCTGGCCACGCAGAAAACGTCAAAATTTCACTCACAGGTATATTAATATAATAGAGAAAATAAAGCAATACCATAATATATATTAATAAAATTAAGTATAAAATCCACATGAAATATTCAATTTTAATTATTAACATATTATCTGCATAAGAAAAGAAACACGAAAATAGTTAATAAAATTTTGTTTTGAATTTAACATGTGTGGAAATATTTTGCAATTTTCAGAGACCTGTCTACGACACAACGTAGACTCACACAAACGAGCTATGGAAATAACTACAAACGAGATTCACGAGAAACGCGAACACTATTGATACCGAAAAATAATTCGAACACTAACATTTGAGCAAGATCGATAAAAAGATCGAGTACGAATCGAATCATATTTTGTTAATTGATAAACTTTTATCTTACCAAATAAACTTGTTAATTGAACTCCTACAAAGCTCTAATAACGAGATGAAACTATAGAAGAACCTATGTATATAGTTATTATAACATAAAAATCACAATGCCTGTTCGAAATTGGATATATTTACGTAATATTAAAATTTAATTTATAATATTTAGAATTTTGTTCGAAAATTCTTTAAAAATCTTTTGCCTTATTAAAAAAATATCGCCCTGTGAATAAGATTCATTCTTTTAAATAAATGTACATACATATAATATAAATAATTTATAATATAACATGTATAATGTAATATATAATACGTATATAAATAGTCTATAAATAATCTACCTTTATGTAATTAATCTAGTAATAATTATTTGTTATATACGTTCTTACAAAATTGTGACCATAAAATATATTATAAGTGTAAAGTATTCATTTATCTTATGTGTTATTGTGTACAACATACCTCACGTGTATTTATTGTTAGTTTAACAATAAACTGATTTATGTTAAAATTATCCATTGGTATCAAATAGTCTTGTTAGTGTCCTTTCCCTAAAATTTTCTAAGTATTAAATCTTCTAAACACTTTAATATGTAAACAAATGACGCACGAAATATGAGAGCATAATTCACTTAAATCTAATCCATTTCTAGAAATGGTTCTTTAAGTAACCGCTGTTTTTGTACAGAGGGCATTATAATCAGTCTCAAAAATTTAGGTCGGTAAGACGGTCAAGGTTGGCTACAAAAGTCCGTATAATGTTCGGTTTATCTTATACCTCGTCTGTAATTTAATAAAAGAATATATTTTATTATAAGTTAATTCTCTATCAAATATATACTATCATTATATTTAATTTCACTGACCAAAAATAAAATTCAATCAAATTTCATACAAAAATAGCGAGGTAGCTTGCAAATCATTCATATCGTAGAATAAAAAGATGCAATGAAAGTAAATCTATATTATACTCTATGGTTAAATTTGAATCAAGAGTTACATATACTATATAGAAGATAAAACCACTACATAAACGTACTTCTGTGTGCTTATATAGTACTGTACCTACTTGCATCTATAGATGCATAAAGAGGTTAGCCTGTTTAAAAATAGTAATTTTTATTATATTTGAGTAATAAAATGTTTAAATCATATTTACGAAACAATTTTAGAATTACGTTAATTATAAAATATAATTTAAATTATATATTTCCATAACAATCATTAAGAAACACTAGAAATAAAACTATCTGTATAAATAAATTTATGTCAAGAATATGAAACGATTTATTAAAAAGTGGAAAAAAATCTAAATGAAAGAAATGTACCACCATTAAAAAAGAGAAAAATAGATGTAAATGACAAATTAAATAATGAATTATTGAATGACAGTAAACCTTCTCAAATAGTACATAAAATTAAAAACAAAATGTAGCTGCCTATAAAAGGATTGATGCCAATAAAGAATCTTCAGCTATTATTAATAATTTAAATTCTAAAACTAACTATATAGGACCAAAGATGTTAAAAAATATTACAAATTGTAGTGACCCTGTTGAAGAAACAAATGAAAGTAAATATATTCAATAAACTTAGAAAACTCAATAGACAATAAAATTGGAAATATAAATAGACCACAAAATTTTAATCTTAGTGATTTGGAACTTATAAATTTAAATTTAATGGAACTTGCACAGGAAACACTGTGTAAAAAAGAAAATCTATATTCTTGCAACAAAGAAGATATGTTGCATGATCTAAATTCTCTGGTGGATTTTGAAGAAAGTAACATATCTACAAACATTTTTTCTTCAACAATGATTAATCCTACACAAGAAGAAAATATCACAGAATTATCAAAAAATGCAGAGATTGATCTCCTTTTTACTGATAACATTGATAACGCCAATGTTGAAAATACAGAAAATCAAGAAATAAAATATAAAGATACTATGCTTCAAGAAAAAAAATGTTTTAATAATAAAAAAAATATAGCAAATAATACTAAAAAAAACTGGAAACATAAGTCTAATAAGAAAGATACTGATGTAGATGATCATATAAAATATATCTTAGGAGAAGTAGATATTGAGTTAACATCAGGCGAAGAAGAAACATTAAATGAAGTATCTGAAGATACAATAAATGTAAATACTTGACTCAAAATATATTGTACTTCGTGTGTTAATTATTTTATTAACTTTTTCTTTCAGGCATTATATAATCTAAAGGTAAAATTAATGCATAAAGTACCAATGCAACATAGAATTGAACATACAGCAGGTTCAAGAACATTAACAAGAAAAGAAAACAAATTATTTTTAAATTATGGACCAATGAAAAGTGGTACATTTACACCTAATGAAGATAAAATTATCAGAAATAATTGGGAAGCATTTTGTGAAGTAAGTTTTATTAATTACATAACATATTCTTATTACTAATAATTTTTTAAATATAGGTTCATAACTGGAATCCAAAATGTGTAACACCATTCATTAATATGAAAAATGGTTACAAATTTTATATAAAGAGCTTAGAAGAGAGACAAAAATTTACTCAATTTTTAGCAAATGGATTACCATGGAGAACACTATACAGTGTTTACCATAGATTTAAATACTTGTATGGAAAGCATAAAAAACGTTTTCAGAGGTATATAAAAAATTAGAATGTTATTTGTATAACTATTTACTACACTTTAAATTTTAATTACACTTTTTTTGTATTTTTTTATTATTTTAAGTGATTTATATATTTTCAAGGTTCACATTAAATGAAGATATAAATATTTTATCTTATGTAAAGGATAAACAAAACATTGCAAAAAATAAAATATTTCTAGAATTAAGTAAAATATTAAGTCGTTCAAGGCAGTCAATTTGGAGACGTTATCAACTACTTCAAAAAATGCTTAAAAATAAAAAACGTGAGCGCTACAATACAATACAAAATTACAGTAGTTTCAGTAACTAAAGCAATTTAACCAAATTTTATTATAGCATCATCTGAAATTAAATGGACATTATCTTCAACTGGCAAGTTTATAAAAACCTTTATGAGTGTAGCATTGTGTAAAACAGTGGAAGATTTAAAAGATGCTATTATTCCAAAACCTGTTTGGCAAAAATTAGAAGAAAAGCTAGATATAGACTATAACATATTGAGAACATTCTGGATACATCAATTGCACATGCAATTATTTTGTACAGAACCTATTTATTTGAATGATATAAAAATAAAATTAATCGAGTAGTGAGTTAGTTTTTTATAGTATATATTCTAATATTAACCCTTTACCGTACCATTTCGTACGAACACGGCCAAGAATAACACGTAACTGAGGCAGAAAAATATCGGCGAAAATTAACCACGAATCTGACCTGTGATAAATACATTGGACCTTATCTACAGACCATGGCTCTCACCCATGATACTCGTGTTTGGCTTGATTTCCTTACCTCGAGTTTCACACGATATTGTAAGCGAAAGGGTTAATATTATTCATATTGTAATACAAAATATGACAAATCTATTATTCTAAAAATTATATTACAGTGTTTATGGAAAAGGAATTTCAAACATTCGAGAAATAGTTTGGTCAGATGTTGCAAAATATTTTGATGGAATTACTAGTATCTTTTTATGCAAAACATTTTTTTATCTTACAAAACAAGCTACTAAAAAGATAGGTACAAACCATTTTCCTGGTAAGATCTTGAATTAAACACATAGTAAGTATTGAATGGTTTTTGTTCTGTGACAACAATTTTCATTTTTTACTTTTTAGATATCGTGCAATATTTATATAATGAAAAAATACAAGATATAAAAGATGAATTATCTGATAAATTTCTTCCTAGGCTTTCTTATAATAACGGAAATATTAAAATTATAGACAAAGGTTTGGACGAAGATATTGATATATGATAGATGAATAATATTACAACATAATTAAAATAATTGGGAAATAAATTGAACACCTTGAATATTTTTTCGTACAATTAGAGAAGAAGATATTTCTAATATCATCAAAAGAATAATGCAATTTTTTAATTTTATAATTTTTAAAAAATGTGTAATATTTACATCTATTTTTAAAAAGACATTGTTATAATTTATTCAATAATGTTTATACATTTTACATATATTCCAGTACCTTTCTTGTACAGTTCAAAAAAATCCAAAATTAAACTTTATTCTTCTTTGACTCCTTTTCTAATGCCTTTTCCTTTGCCCTTTGATATAGAGGTACTAGCCTCCCTTCTTTAGCTAGCATCTTGAGCAGTTCCATTATTAATGGTAAATAGTTATGCTTCCTTCTAATATTTTCGATCTGATATCTTTTAAATTTCCGAATTTCTTTCTCTATCAATGTCTGTAAACGTTCTAACTCTTCTAGATCACAAGCATTTGCTATTTGACGTTCATAAACTATTCTCCTGTCAGTTACTATTGCCATTAAATTAAAATGTATTTCTCCTTCGTTATATCTACAAACATAAATTATACAGTTACTGCATGAAATATACAAAAATATTAATATATTTTTAAATAAATACTAAGCTTATGAAATATTTACTTATTTATCCTTTTCTGTATTATAGGCTTTGCTGCTTGAACCCATTGATCCCCAAGTGGACAAGGACCTAAATCCATTGGTCCATCTTTTAATCCATCTAACTCATATAATCGTCCGTCAATAGGGACATAACTCACAAAATGAAATACATCTTCATCTTTAGATGCTTGTTTTGAATCATATTCAAATATCGTTTGTCTATAATAAATAATGTTTATTTTATGTTATGGAAACAATTTATTCCTAATATAAATGAAACAAGCACAAGATAGCTACATGAAAAGTACCTCGAAAAAGAATTATGTACTTCTCTTATCACATCAGAATTACTAAGAGCAAGTCCCCTCATGTTAGCATCAAAACTTTGACAAAAATTTTTAAATTCTTCCAAATTTGGTCCCAATGATATATCAGAATGTTTACAATTCAATAATACGCTTAAAATTGCTTGTGTTGCACATGCATTGTTAATTACCTAAAAGTAATTTTTAATATTTTTACCATCTAATTTTTATTATTATAATATTTAATGAGAACTATAAAAAATACCTGTTTTGCAAAAAATATTTTGTCCAGTCTATTATCTAAAACAATGCTTCCTGAGGGTTCGTCATCTTGTACCCATTTGAATAAAAATATCAAGCCATGTATAGGTCTAATAAATAACAAAAATTATTATTAATACATCACAAAGTATGATTAAAAAGTGATCAATTAATTTAAATTTATTTATGTAATCTGTAAATTTACAAGATTACAAATTTATAATTCTGGGATTTAATTTTTATTATTTAATAAAAATTTAATTTAAAGTGTCGTTTTAAAAATGTATTAAATTACACTACAATTTAAATTACTTACTAGCAGTGTAGCGTATAAAATAAAAAAGAAGCTTTGATCAATAATTTAGAAACAATATTAGAAATAGGTTATGTTACATAAATAAAATACTCACTTCAAACTATCAAATTGTTCGTCATCCAAACTCCATAATTCTTCCACCTGGGTACCTTGAACACCTTTAATAAAACGAAATTATATTAAGTGTATAGTAAATACATAATCTTAAAAGAATAACATTCAAAAATTATAAGTGCTAAAACAACTGTCAATACATAACAATACTTTCTAATATAATTGTATATAAACTTTTTCAATGCAACTAAAATAATTAAAAACAAATCAGAATAAAAGCAAATAAAATTTACCAAATTCTTTTATTAATTCTGTAAAAACTCCAGGATCACTTTCGATAAGACACCAATTGCCCGCTGAGTCCGCCATGTTTCATTTATTTGCCGCACTCCAAAATATAATACTCATTCACCATTGTTTTCTTCTTCGATATCTAAATCAACGTTATAAAAATTAAAATCGATACATGAATTAATCAAAAAAAAAGAAATATTGAATAAAGACAAGTGCTACCATAATTTTACTTTACAAATTTTTATATCATCATTATTGTTTAAAAAAGAAAATTAAATATTTAAGAAATAATTTATAACAAAATTGCACAATTAAAAAATTTAATAAATTATTTAAAGTATTATCATTGATGTATCAAATAAAAATGTTCAAATTAGAATATTAAAATTATGCTTTCAATGTAATAACATGAAAAATATTTGATAGAAAAATATTTACATAAAAATAATTCCACATTTCCAATTTTTTTAAAGTCTTTTATTACTCTACAGATGATATCTTATAATTAAAATTGGCCGATTAAATAATCATAATTAGAGGTTGTATGTAGCATCTTAAGCATAAAAGTTTTACTCAAATTGCAAGCACAGCCTGATTTATTAAGTGGTTGGAATAATAAAACATGAAAAAGTGATATAATCCTTTCATAATCATGAATTAATATTATAACACTAAAATACAATTTACACTATGTACAAGCAATAAATTAATTAAAGTTTCAAAATATATTAACTAATTATCATTGACATTGCTCATCAGTTCACATTGTTAATAAATTGTTCAACAAATAGTATATATTCAATTTACAACAAATTTTAGAGTATAATTTACACGAGTAAAAGTTATAAAATTATAATATAAAGATAAATTGAAGTAATTTGAAATAAAATATTCTCGATAATGTAATAGGAAGAACTGATAAAAAAAATTATTAAAAAAAAGTATATAAACAAGCCACTCTTACTAAACCAAATGTACATACATTGGCAATACATTTGAACTATTTTTATTTTATACTCTATAGACAAATCTTGTATTAAACTGTTAAATCCAATTTATTTATAAGTGACCATAAGCAGTGATAGCATTTGGCTTAAAATTTTATTGAAATGCTCTTGCTGAAATATCGTGATGCGTATAATAAAGACCGCAAAATCTATGACGAGACACTATATGCTGGTTGTATATATTAACATTTTTCACTGAAGCACCTAACATTGCATTGTTTGATTTTGATATTAGTTATTATTTTCTGTTTGACATAATGACGACAGAATATCTTCATACCGTCGCATATTTGTTTCAAACGTTTCCAGCTGTTTAGTAAGATCTCCTACTTGTTCTACAAGTGTTCTTTCCTCCATGAAAGCTTGAAGTTGGGGTGCACTTTGACATTCACGATAAAATGCTCCTAAATCGCTATTGGTGTTTGTTACGGCAAAAGGAGTTTTCTATAATTACAATATTTGAAGAACTTAGATAAATCAAATGTTTCTAGTACAGTAAAAAGATAGGAACATTAATTACCAAATCTATCATAATAAAATCATCGTTGGCACTGGTTATTGAGCAACTACTTCTTCTCGATCCATTTTGAGAGTTGCATTTCGACGTTGTATTATCATTCACAAGTCTTTCATTGTTTCCATTGCTGCTATCTGTAGTGATAATAGTTGTTGCAGTCTTTGTATTTGTAGTCTCAGCTACTGAGACTGGAGGTGGTGATGTTTGTCTAGGAGTTAGTAAAGAACTAAAAGGTACATCTGGTATAACAAAATCCTCTTCATTAACCATAACAGGCTTATTGACTACAAATGCTCCAACTTTGATAGTATCACTAAGCGATTTTGACGTTTCTACGCTAAAATATAAATTAAAAATTAAAATTAATTTAATTTTAAAAAATAACAAATTATATTCAAGTAACTTACCTTTGTTGATATCTAGCATGACGAGGACTTAAATCAGAATGAAAATGATCGCTTTTTAACATTATTGAATCACGACCAGTATGAGTAGGAGATATAGTCATTTTTGTTCTATATGATACTGATAAATGAATTGTCCCCACTGGTGTACACAATTGACCCACCCTAACATGTTTATAATTATCACCTGTAAAAACTTGCAATATAATAAAACTATTTTTAATATTAAAAACAGATGTACAAATCTTAAGTTTAAAAAAGAAAAATAAAGATTTTAATGTAAGATCAAAACATTCCATACCTAATGTATGTAACTGAGGTTCTCCCATATAAATTCTATAACAAATAACATAGGAATCTGGACCTTGCCTCCTACTTAATTTGTAAGCTGGAGTAATTCTTGATACAGATAGTAATGATTTGAGTAAAATACCCATTCTGTTGTATACCGTATATGTTACTCTTACAGTAGGATCACTGTGCTCTGGCAAAACACCCAGACTCCATGTTTCTAAAACCATTGTATCACCTTCAACAGTTCGTAAAGAAATTTCAATGCAAAGAGGTATGGTTGAATTTACTATTTCTCCACATAATGATCTCTTAGCTTCAGCTAAAACTTCTGGTAGATCATGAATCGCTAAGTTGAACTATAGAATAAAAACAGACATATATAAAACATTACAAATATTAATTTGAGAATTACAAATATAAATCGTCTGTAATATATTTACATTTAAAGTCATAGAAAATATTAAAAACATATATAAATAGGCAAACTTACCCAATCTGTTCCAGATGAATTTGGCTTGCACTTTGTGCTGACCTTTTCACCTGACCTCGACTGCACAATAATTTGAGCAGCTTTCAATGCCAAAAATTTGGTGAACTTGTCTAAGTCTTTTTTATCTTGCATGCTCAGTTTTGATGTGGACATTTTACTGCTGTTATTTTTTATGAAATTCCTTTTAAAGAAACACAGATGTCCAATAAAAAACATCAGATTCCACTAAACTGAATAGAATTTTGAATATGCCAAAGCATCATCTCCTCTTGTCTGTAAAACTACATGGTGAGATTGTTTATGACACTCGTACGTGTAAATCATCGCACTTGAGTTAGAAAACTCAATTCTCTTCTTTCTATGATTTGCTAATGCAGGTACTCCAGACAAAAAATAGTAATTTGACAACAGCATGAACATCATATCG